CACAAACGAGTCTAATTGGGCCAACCATTGTGTTACTTTTTTCTAAATAAAAAAAAACTCCTTGCTGAAAAACTTCTATCGAGCAAATATCACTGTAAAAAGGTTTGCACATGATTGTCACCAATTTTTTTTTTGTTGACCTTGGCATTCAATTATTTTCGCAGAAATATTTCTGTAAGTTAACAAAATTATTAAATGAACACTGAAAAACATGACTTGTTCTGAATTTTTTGCTTAATTCACTACTTTTACTTTTTTTTGTATGCCAATCGCTTTGTTGTAATATGAATGATAGACTCTATATGTTTGAAACCGTTGTTTCTTTTCGTTTCCCTGGTAGTTTCGCGCTGTACAGTGTCAAAGTGAACTCGTGAAACCCAAAAACGCGTTATACAGTAGAATATTAATTTCAATACTTTTCAAATATAGAAAAATAAATCCAACAATTGAATAAATTTCATAGTATCAAACTATTCAACACTAAACACAAAATTGTTGTTTTACTAGATTAAAATAAAAAAGAATATATAATTTCTTTTTTTCACTTTTTGGCAATTTTTTAGTTCGTAAAAAGTGTCTGAAGTAAAAATGCCATCTAAAAAAGTATGGCTCACCCTTTATTCGACCGAATTTTATTGCGACTGAACACGATATCAACAACAACGACCCGATGGTTGTTCTTCCTGTGTTTTTGTTCCCTTCTGTCTTTTGCAAATATTACACTTACCATATGGATGTCATGGCGTATTGTGTGTGTATGTATGCGTGAATGCACCTCGTTTCGTGTAAGGAATGGTAATGTCTATGTATCATCGTAAATTGCGTGTGTCATTCGGTCATTGTATTTGGAATGCTGTGCGCATGACAGCTATAGAAGCAGTTCCAGCAAGCAAATTTATCGATCGACTAATGTTTACAATATTGACATGCAACACACATATTTTAATCCAGTTTGGTTACCGGTCTGGATTTGTTATGCTTTGTTTATGTTTTCCTTTATTCTATATTCGTTTTGTTGTTCCTTACGAGTACCGCTTTGAACAATGTGCTGATCTGATGCTCCAAAATTGTTTTGTTAAGTTAGATTCTTCAGAATTGCATCAATGGTTCGATGACCTTAGCTCATTTCTACATTGATCTTTATAGTCAAGCACATCTGTATATGTCCAAGCAGTATTGAATTAACAACAATGTTTTGATTCACAGCTGTACGAGTTTATTTTATATGAAAAGGTATAAAATGGAATCACCGCATTATTGGATATTATTTTTTGCAGTATCCTCGCAAGGTGTAGAACGAACCGAATTGATATCAATATATATTGCGAATAAAGCAAAAAAAAAAAATATATTTTTTTATACATTTCGAATTGAAAGGTGGTCACATATCAATGAAATTCGAAACCAAAATCAATTATTTGGCGCGTTCGATTGAAATTTTTTTGAAAAATTCCGTAAAACTGAACGCTTGTTATTGTTAACATAATTAGCGGCAAAATAAAATCATAGCTTCTATGATTATTACTTGTGATGGCCGCGGGGCATTGAATAATATTAATTTTGTTGGGCAAATGAAACGCCTCCGTAGACAGTAATGCACAAATACCATTATTGGTAAATAACTTTCACTTGCGCCAATTCGAAAAACATGATATCTTCAGATGTTGAGCAACAAGAGCGATTGGTGAATTCTCCAATTTTAATTGCATACTTTGATGGCGCAAAATTGTTTCAATTATCAAGAAATTAATTTAATAATAAATGTAACGAATTGAGTGATAATTGCCATGATTTAATTCAAATTTGTGGATCAATATTTTGTATTCGCAGCGAATCTGTTTTATTTTTCTCTCTCTGAAGTTCAAATTTTCTAGCGCGTATAAACAGGAAGCGTACAATTGTGACCAAAAGTAGTTAAAAGGCCTATTGGATAAATTGAAACAACGAATCATACGATTTCTTTGAAATGAATGTAGCAGTTAAACAAGTAGTTAGTTTATAAAACAACACTAGTCACCACAGTGCACATGTCGGCATTTGTCTTGTTTTCGGTTGTCATTTGAAATGTTACGGTAAAAAGAATTTGATCTTTTCCGATTATATTTTGCTTCGATTTCATATAGTGCATTTGCAATTACTTTGGACACTTGTAAAATAAAAAGAAACCCACTCTACAATGTGGGCTGTAGCTATAAATTATTGATTTTAGTCGCGGTTGCACGATATTTTAGTTGCACGTATTTTAAAAATATTGCCATAGATTGAATTATTGGTCGTTAGCGGCATTCATTAGATTGGAATTTCATGTCGGAAAAAACTTGAATTGACAACTTTTAGCATGTACTGAATTTATCGTAATAGTGGCTGTTGTGAATATAGTGCAATGTGCAGTTCAATGAACTTCAATCAGTCTTCTTAAAATGGTTTTAGCCATAAGACCGATTCACTTTCATCATTATATTCGTGGGACGGTTTTTGCCATTATTGACCGATTTTTCTTCCTACAATGAAAATGAAAACAAGTGCCTATTGCAGTTGTGAATAAAATAAATAGAAAAAATGTGATATTTATCATCATCGTCATCATTTGACCTTTCTTGGATCTTGGAATGTCATATCATAACAAATATTCACCAATACCGTCCCATCGGCAATAAAATTACATGCGAAGTGAACTAATGCCGTATTCTACATAACGGACCATTATAATATGGCTTTGATCGATAGCAATAAATCTTAAATTGTTGGAAATATATTGATTGAAGAACGTCTCGAAATCAATTGGGAAATTTCATATTTCTCCTACCAAATTACATTTGAAGTAATCGAAACTGTAACTTTGTAATTGAAAATCGTGATTGAATTTTGAAAATGTTCACCTTAAGACAAGAACGAACCAAATACTACAATACAATATTTTCTCATATACCAAACTCTTACAAATCAGTTTAATTTCGACATATAGCGAATCTATCAACAATCAGTTTTGAATTTAAGATATCAAAAGTTGAAATATATCGTTTGTCGATTTCTTTGCTGTAACTATCGGTTGATTTCATTGCAAACTCAATGTTGCAGTTTCATAAAACCTAATGATACGTGACATAGGCATTTGTATTTTCTCTTTTCAGCAGGAGCATTTCATTTTTATTACATCGACTTATAAATTGTTCTTCAAAGCGATAATATTTATAACTTTTTTGATGATCTTTGTTTCCTTCGAATGAAAAATTCAACTGGCGACAAAAAAGTTACGGTACTTTCGCATAAAATCGGTTGCATTTATTGAATAAAGCAGTGAACGTGTATAACGGTAAAAAGTATTTGTGTATAATTGGCGTCTATCAACTAAATAGCGCTAAGGAAATTGTTATAACACCTTTTAGCGTCAACTGCCCATCATAAATAATGCATTTTAAAGATGTCGTTTTTTCATGAAATTGTTGCATTTATGCAATGAATAAACCTGCATTGGATAATGACTATGTTTCCGACAATTAGCCCAAAATACAAAATCAAAGTTTGAAGTTCGCTTTTGCAGCACTTGTTATATATTGCTTACAATTGAACTTATAGCTGTATGCAAATACAACCTTGGAATTTGTGGTGAGACTGAATTCAATTGGCTTTAAACATATTTCACAAAATACGCGGAGGCTTCGAAAATCGATAATTCGTTTATTTATGCCAAGAAAAGTGGCTTATATAAACGATGCCGCATCAAATGGCATATTATAATGTGGGTGATATGTTGTAGGCCGGTGTACTTGAAGACAAAGACATTTCACAGACGACTTTGACTGAATGTCTGAATGTTCGAACTATGAACAATATTCAATTTATTGACTTTAATTTTAAAATTTAAAATATAATTGAGTATCGACATTTATATACAGATAGGTGTCAAATCGTTGCAACAAGAAAGAAACTCCATTAACTAAAATAGATTGGGTACAATATAATTTGGTTTACTTCATTTCACGACAAATAGTCGTTCGCTATTATATTCTTATTTGGTTTTAAAAAGAGCTTCTTTCGAACTAATTCAAAATTGAAATTTAAATTCAAACGTGAATTAGCAATGTTTGTTCATATTTCAATAGCTACACGTATTACCATTTATGATTAAAAAAAGATAAATAAATACAGATGAAAAGAGATAAAGAATTGAAAAATGCACTTTCTTTTAGTGTTCAGTTAAATTATCAACGTTTAATGTACATCACGTTCAATAAGAACTATTTGAGTGGCATATTCACATAACGCACTTTAACTATAATTGTCATCAGATTTTTTTGCCGCACGATGCATAAATTATACTGTTTTTTAAATAAAAATCTCGAAATATATAAAAAAATATTCAAAACACGAAGACAAACTCAATAAATTATTTCCCCACTAATGGAATTGAACGATACACAAACAGCGTATAACAAACTTGAAACCGACGGTTAAACAAACAGACTGTATACAGAACGACGGTGTTCGATTCAAACAAACAACAATGGATGCAAAATTTCGTTTCCAGTGGATTTTTGTTTAAATGTACAAAAACATGTGCCAGTGCCGTCTGTTAAAGCGAAAGAAAACAAAAGACCGACTTTGGCTCGGCGATGCGGTTGAGAGTGTGTCAATAAGAAGAAGCGGTAAAATTCTATCGTTGGCAAAAATGTCCGAAAGTGAATATATTATTATTATGACAACAAGATACTCGCAAGCATATAAATTCTCATCGATAAAAAGATCAAAGCGGCTGAAAAAAAACATTTTTTATTTGGCGAATAAGAAAAAAAAATTGAATATTTAAACAGAACATGTTTTTCGACACAAACTCAAAGTACCTATGCAAATATTATGGGTTCTGGTGCAAATATTTAATTAGCAACTTAACGAAATGAGTTTAAGTACTCTCAATGTAATCTCAAGTAGTTTGGTTACACAACATAGTCACGGTCTTGAGCATTCATTTTTGTGTGAGCGAATAAATAAGAGACATTTACCTGATTCGGTCCACGAAGCGCATGTATTTTCTCGGCATAAAAGAGACCATTCAAAATCTAAATCATCATAGGATGCCATATTTGGCGTGGTTCGGCCAACGATCGGTAGCAATAAAATAATAATCACAAAAAAACAAAAAAACCGTCGCTAAATCAGAGTCTACTTTGATTGAAATTAATCCAATTTTGGCATAAAATATCACTTTAATTGAACATATGTGTATATATAGTGTCGAAGCAGTGGTAAAAGTTTAAAACAAATGGCACAACAGCAGTGTAGCTAACATATAATATAAAAAACAGGGTTTTTGTGCACAAATTGCATTTTGAAATTTAAAAAAACGGTGACTATTTTCGGATCATACTAATTCTCTAACGAACACACGAATAAAAACAAGGCACATGTTAGCCCTGAATCACAAATAAACACTATTTCTGTTTTCAAATTTACACAAACTTAATTACTTGTTGCAGAAACAAACAGTTTGGTTCACGTGCAATCGATAAAAACCAATGAAATAAATATATTTATTGTACGTTACATCATGAGAATCGAACTTTTCTCGTTGTTTATAATACCAAAAATAAAATTTCCATTCCTTCGTTTGTGCGATTCATTTTGCACAAACAATTTCGAATCAATCTGTTCGATTCACTGTCTTCGTAACGAATACTTTTCGAATAGCCGATATTTCAGTGACATTTGTTTGGTTAGTGTCAAGCTGATTTAAAGTAAGCCACAGACGTGGTTGCTGATGTAGTCAAGACACAGAGAGAGATAGCGAGATGAACAAAAACTTGGAATTTACATTTAAACACTTGTCGTCACACGGTTTACAGAAACAAGTCCACGCTTACACACAAATGAACATCGATAGAAACAAATCAATTCGGTTTAACACGCACACGCATATTTTTAAACGGTTGATACAGACGACATACAGACGACAACCGACTTGCTTTGAACACTCACACAATTAAAATACCACATCCATCGAATTTGTCTCGAAGTAATTGCGTAATTCTTTTTAAATATCAATGAAATGATCATTTTTTTCAAAATCTTCTTTTATTATCATCATTTCTGTCGAAAAATATACTTGTTTTCTTACCGCAAACAAGAAATTGGCGACAGAAACGGTGAATTAAAATGTATGTAATCTCTCATTTTAGAATTATGACATTTGAAAGAACGAACGGGTGCAAAGATCAGATATTCATGGAAGATTACAAAGTGTAAGCTTTACGCTGAATGAAATTGTTTATGCACACTTGCCAAAACAGACTTTGATTCGCTCATTTAGATCAAATTTAAAATTTTATAAAATTTTAATAAAGATGATCTGCGCGATTGGTGAATGGTTCAATCACTTGCACTTTGATCGAAGCAGTCATTGAAAATTCTATTAAATTCTGAATCCATCATTTTTATTAATAAAATACATTAAATTTGTACTTCTTTGTTTAGACTCTCCTTGTAACCTTTGTGTAAGATTATACCGAATACTTTGAATTGATGTTATTTTTTTTAATTCACAATTCACGCTATACAATTTGATGGCCGAGGGAAAGAGCAATTTTATTTAAACTTAAAACTTTCTTCGATAAAATAAGTTTACGTCGTGACTTTTGAAAAGACGATTGAAAACGACCAAAATATCATCAAGTTATGATGGTTTGACTAAAATAGAAAACAGTGAACAATTTGTTTCTCCTATTAAGCGGGTCATTCAATTTTAATAATTGATATGACTTAGATTTTCACCATGTACATGTACATAGTACATTTTAAAACAGTTTAAAATAAATGAAAGAAATAATCATTACACGTTGTAGAGTTTTTGTCTTGTTACATGTATCAGTTTATTATTAAATACAATATTTGTTGTAAGGGATAAGATCTCCTTTTACAATTTGAATATACGTTTCTAGTTTATTTAGTTTTATTTTATTTTAATTTACGTCTCAGCACATGCACATTTTCTAAAATTAGCTTAATTATTTGAAAAAAAAAAAATCCCCGAAAGATCTTTTTGTGAATGGGTTTGATCAATCGAACATTTCGTATCCACGGTGCTACGAAGGTTCTGGTATAAATATATATTTATACCGTTCATATTGTGTGTTTTTTCGCATAGATCCGATGAAAGTATGTATCATTTAATTCAATAATAACATAATTGATGTTTCAGGTGAAACAAACAGTATGTTTGCATAAGAACTAAATTAAAAATGAATAATGAAGTAGATGATTTCAAATGCATTTGAAGAAAATGTGGTTTGTGGTTGTCTTGTGAAGGTCCATTATTCCGTGACCATGGTTTATTTCCTCCTTTATAGTTGTCATATTTCTTTTGTTGGATATTTTTGTTAGTAAGCAAACGTAGTAGAGTATGTGTGTGTGTGTGTGTGTGTGTGTGTGTGTGTGTGTGTGTGTGTGTGAAAAAACACAAAAGATTATCAAAAATTAGATGTTTTTCACTGATTTTCAATTTCATATTGAAATAACAATCATTTTTTTCTAACAACAAAAAAGCTACAGTTCGACTTAAAATCGTCGTTTTCGTCTTATCGGAAAACTCTCAGAAGAATTGCTTTTTACCTGATCTGGATTTTGATTTTGATTCATGTTGCCAATGGTGGCTAATCCCCATTGATTAAGGGCTGCTACTATAGCGGGTGATATAGCTACCGGATTCATGTTCATGCCTTCAATAAAAAGAAATTGAAGAAGACGATTAAACAGAACAGATTTGTTTTGATTTCTTTGCAAATTTGTTAGTTAATGTTAAAACCTTGATTAGGTGGTCCATTTTGTCCGTTTGGGTTTATTCCAAGGGATTGCAGATTTGGCATGTCAATATTTCCACGACTCTGATTCCAGTTGTTGCTATGATGCATTGGACCGGATGGTGGCATATTATTGTTGTAATTATTTCTTTAACATATTGTTCATATTATTGACTTTAACATCACACCAACGCCCATCGATGAAGTGGGTACATGATAGTGCCTTCATTTGGCCTTCGTATGAAGCAAATCTAATGAAGCCAAAGCGTTTCGATTGGCCAGTACGTAGGTCCTTTATAATTTGCACCATTAACACCTCACCGATGGTGCTGAAGTACTCTTTCCTCGGTTGTTTTCCATGGCAGTCCTATTTAAATTTAAAAAAATATATTAGAAAATATCTATTATCGGATGTAAACAATGTCGTGGCGTACCAAGTACAATCAAATCAGTGCATTTCAAACGGCTTTCTATTCGTTTAGTTTTGGCCGTGGAATTTTCCAACGTATCATCACATTTACGTTTATTCTCAGCCACAGAATTGTCCTTCGGAAATACACACAAACAGATCATATTTCCCCAGTCATCGTCGGCGTTCTGAAAGAAGGAGAGAAAATTCTTCTTACAACAAAAAAATAAAAACTTTTTTAGGTTAATTATGTCGTTATTCCGAATAAAACACAATATATTTTTTTCTCATAAAATTATTGTATTTCTTTGTGTGTATATAATGGTGTAAGTAGTAAAATATTTTCCATTGCGATTAACATCGCACAAGGATTCAATCTTTTTTCTGTTTCATCAGGGACTTCGGAATGAAAAAACCTAAAACAAAATCATCATATTTTAATTAACTTGTGTATCCATTTAATCAATTAATTAATACATTTGGCACCCCCTATTCAGCCCGGCAAATTTTTGTGATTGCCATCATGGCGGACCAAAAGGCTAGTTTTGATCAACCAATCACAGTGAAGCAAAACGAAAATGCTGTCATGGCGGATCAAATAAAGGGGCTTACGTACGCAAGCTGACTTTTCCGCATGGAACCGAAATTTTGGGAATAAACTGAAATCATGGTCTTTGTATGGTTGCAGTAACTTAAATTACCGTGAAAACTTGTGAATATTATGTTCTTATCAAAATAAATAATTCACACTAAGTTTAAAGAAATTTCAATCCAAAAATAGCCTGTTCAAAGTTTCAGATCATTACGGTACCACAAAGGCAAGTCTTTCATACAAAAATGAAACTTTTTGTGGATTTTTGTATGAAAAGTGTGTGAAAAATTGATTGCATCTTAAAACTAACATCAGATTCGGGTTTCTCGTGCCAAAAACCCCCCACTTCACATTCATTCAACGTTCAAATTGAAAGAATATCATTTTAAGGCATTTTTCTCATAAGTGCTTCTTGAGAGTCTAAGTTTTACACCGATCGATCAATGTCGTTGAAAATTTGACCAGATCTATTCCTCGTAGTGCCCAATCACTTCGTGAAGTCACATTTTGAATTTCATGTCCGAGCACGAAACCATCGTGTCACCAAAATGGTTGAAAAATGATCAAAAAAGTAAAATGTATGGATTGTGCGTACTCCATTCGGACCAAAAAAAATTACACCGGTCAACAGATATTGCTCAAAAACTAATCAGCACGTCTCCTAGTAGTCCCAAATCATCCTGCAAAATCAGAATTTGAATTGAGTTTTTGGAAGAAGATTTATCGAGTTAACAAATTTTGGCAACACGCCACAGGACACAGGACACAGGACACAGGACACATCACACACAGCGACGCACATTAATATGCCCCAAAATCATCTCCAATCGTGTTTTCTACATTAAATATGCATATAAAACATGTTTTGGGATGACTTTAATTTTTTGGCCTAATACAATACCTTCCCTACACTGGCTGTGCGGAAAAGTAAAAGGTGTCATGACGTCGAAACAAATTGTTATTATTATGAAACATACTACTTCAACATTTGTCTTTTTGTGCCTTAATAATTATTTCAATAATCTAAATATTTACAATTATTGTTATTTTTAAACACAAATAATAAAATAGATATTTTTTGCGCAAATTAAAATAATATGTTCGGATATTTTTTTTTAATCGACAATTCAATATGAACAAATGCGACATCTATATGAAATCTGAATACATTATTTCAGTATTTGTTTTATCGTTCTTCAATAATTATTTCAATGGAAAAAAATTTGATATTGTAATATTTTTTATTTTCAAATACAAATTGATTTTATTACCGAGATTTTTATCTTAAATTTTTTTTTCGAACGATTTTATGTTTTTTTTATTAAACAATTTAATTTGCTCGTAATGTTTTTGAAGAAAATGCTCGTTGACAAATCACACATTGACAGCTGTGTGACATAAAAGGGGCACAAATCCCTGGGATATTTTAATCGGTCCTTTTCGATTAATATCATTTTTGTGCATTTTTCAATTTTTTGTTCATAATATGTCCACCAGATGTCGTATCAAAAATCTAAAGTCATATTTGTGAGTCACAAATTAATCACTAAAATTCTGCATCATTATATTTTTATTTTTTGCTTTTATTCAAAATTTCGCTAAGATACTCTTTGGCCAATAGGCCTAAATAGAAAAATGGGCCAAAGTGGCCGAAATAATGGTGTCACAAATTATCACAAATTAGTCACTAAATCCCTAAAAAGGTTTCAAGGCAATCGCAATTTGCCAGCCTGTATAGGGGGTGCCAATAAATTTCTACAATACAAATCAAACTACAAAGAAAAATAATTTCAATTCCAATTGTAAACTTAACAACTTTTCCTTATACTTTTATTCATTAATTACAGAGTTTGAAATAATGATTAGTTTTTTCAATTCATTTATTTGAAAATCAATTACCATTAGTTAATGTAAATTCAAATTTTCAATTTATTTTTTTCAATTCACTGCAATTAACTCGATATACGGCGCTGATGTAAATATGAACGCTCTAGAATAAAAACAACTTATTGTTTACTCGCATATCGAAACGGAACGCAAAACGGGTGCATATCAAAGCGAGACAATATTTAGTTATCATAGGAATAGAGAACATTGGCTTTTTATTATGCGAAATATGTAAGTTTCATTTTGTGCTGATAACTAGCTACTGTTCTGCCTTGTTTTAGTAACAGAATTTTGTTTCGCTTTGATATGCGACGCAGTTTAACG